ACTTGGGATTAGTACAGAGGAGTTGTAATGACGCGGGAGCGCCGGCGGGACAGGCGCGCGGAGCGCTGCACGCGGCAGGACTCTGCGCTTTGTCTGCGCAAAGAGAAAGGACACAGCTCTCTCACCGCAGCACGCACACGTACAACCCACAGCACACGCACAGCACCACAGAGGAGTTTACCATGGGTCGCAGGAAAGGATCACCGCCTGCGGCTGGAGCAAAAAAGCCCGGGACGAAATCAAACGCAGAGAAAAAGAGCGACGAGGAGGAGCGATCACGGCAGGCAGCAGCTTTCCGTACGGTCATGGGGTGGGCAGACACAACAACACGGAAGCGTCAGCGAGTCAGTTGCGAAGGTGCTACCAACGACGAGGAAAGTGCGGGTGAGAGGAGTACACCGACGACGATATCTGACGTCGGAAGAGGCAGTACGAGCCAGGCAGTACATGTCGTTCATGGGGCATCAAATAACTCNGAGGCAGTACGAGCCAGGCAGTACACGTCGTTCGTGGGGCATCAAATAACTCCGCAACCGCTTCAACCCAGTCGCCGTCTTCCAAGGGGAAAGGCAAGGGGAAAGCTCGTAGAGAACGTCCCGTAGGAGCAGCGGCATCAGAGGTAGTTGCAGCAACAGAGGGGCCGGAAGCAGGAGGGACAGTAGAACCAGCTGCAACAGTAACAGCAGGAATGCCACAAGCACCAACAGCAACATCACCAGCAGCGGCAACAGCAACACAAGCGGCAACAGCAGGAGTAACGTCAGCAAGCCCACCACCATCTACCGCTCCTGTTCCTCAACCACCGGCACCGCTACTAGCGGCTGGGGCGGCGGATTTACAAGGGGAACAAAGACGAGGACGAGGCGGCACTGCAAGCTCTAGTTCCTGTGCTGAAACTCGACCAACAGCTGCGGCAGGAGGCACGGCAGGTGCCGTTACAGGGGGGACGATAGCTCAAGCTGCGGCTGTGGCGGCGGCGGCCGTCGGAGCAGCAAGCATAGGTCAAGGCAGTGGCAGAGCTAGACGGGAAACACAAGGAGGTGGGAGTGCAGGGGGGGGCGGAGGAAGGGGTAGTGGACGAGGAGCACCGATGGGGGTACGAGAGGCTGGGAGAGGGGCAGCGGCACGGGCAGGTGGAGCGGCGGGAACGTCAGCTCCCCCTCCCGTCGGCGGGGGTGGTGTTGAGGATAGCCAACGNGCTCCCGAAGTGTGTTACGATGTAGAACACCTAAGGTATGCACCCGACGTCCGGGTTTCCTTTGCTGCTTTGAACAGCAGTTTTGTACTCCTGGCGATTGACCACTTTCCGTCCATAAGCTACGCGAACTCGATTTTCGTTTCTCATGCCTCCATGACCGCTGTCCACTACGTTTTTGCGCAGGATTGCCGAAACTTTCTCCGTTCCTTCTGAAGCCACTGCTTGTTCGCGTGGATACCCGAGTATTTGTTCCCGGAGCTAGCGCTGGCGGGAATTCCGTGTCCAAGGTGCGGGAAAAGGGGTTCGCCAGATGGATAGAATCCCAAGGGGCCACGACGGGTGTTCATGGAGGAAGACGTGGGGTACATCATAGGATTCCGGTAAGCCCAGTTAGCGTGAGGTTTTTTGGTGGTACGCCGAGTATGTGGTGTGTTACAATATGTAAACCGCGCGGATCAGTTCGCCTCCTGTTTGACTGTCGGCTGTCCCGCTTGTTTGTTCGCGGACAGGTACAAGTGCGAGCGGTGTGTTGAATACAACGGGACCGTGGAGGAGTCGGAGCAGCGCCCTACCAGTTTCAACGCGTGGGATGTCGGATGCCTGGATCGCCTTCCTGACTACGTGTCGAAGGAATTTTTTCCGTTCATTCTGACTCATCGGTCGGGTATCGACATTCGTCTTGTCGACCGGCTCGCAGACGACCTGGCCCATGGGAAGGGCTNACCGCTGCCAAGTACATCCGTCAGGTTAATTTGCGTACCATTCTTTCATTTGGTCAGGGAGTTTCGCGAACTACTGTTCCCGGTACTGTCTACGACGTGCCGTTCTGAAACATGTTGCACCCCTCCCGCCCCAAACTTATCGCATGCTCAATAATTTGTGCAGGCACACACGAGGAAGTTTATGGTGTATCAACTGAAGTACGTGTCACTGGCTGACGCCCGGCGATCGAGCCGGGTGAGCTTGTTCGGAGCGGCCCCAGTACCAGAGAAGTTTGGGAGTTCGATGACACCGAGAAGTATTGCGGTGCGGTGCTTTCGGACCACTACCTGCGGGACGTGTGGCGCACGTACTTCTCAGAACTTCCTGTGCTGGGGGTGGAAGGCGTGAAGTGGACGCGGGAGGACTATTTGCCCCGCGTGCACCAGCGCTGGGACGGAACCGTACTCGCTGGAGATGCTTCGTTCAAGTTTGCGAAGATCATACGGCTAGGGGCAACAGCGCACGGAGAGCGCACCCGCCCCGTGCACGGCATTTTCACAGTCTTCAACGATTACGAGCAGGTCCAGTAGCATGCGCCTCTCGCCGTCCGTAGATATGTTTCGTTCGTACTTTGAGCTTGTTTCCCCTGTGGTGTTTCGTCGTAGGGGTGTTTGCGTGTTAGTCCTTAGGCCTTGTGCCGTGTTGCCGTGTGGTGTGTGCGAAATTGGTTCCACCTGGGTTCTCTCATGAAGCTTGAGCCGTGATCCGATTTTCCACTCGCTGTGTTCCCTTCTTACATGCCTCTTGCCAGTTTTCGGCGCGCACAGAGCGAACTGAAATGCATTTAAGCACGGAAGAAAAGGGTGTTCCCGCCCTGCCTTTGCAATGTCTGCCGTGGCTCATACACTGAAAGCTGAATTTTACTTGTATATACGTAAAACGGGCATGGGGTTCCTGGTGTTCTTGTTGTATAAAACCGCCCAGCAATATGATGCAGGGAGGAACCGGTTATTCTGTGGTAGTAGCTTGCACCTGAAGCGTGCGACACAGCAGTAGCAGTTACGCGTCATGGNTTGTTCTGAAGCTGCACACGCGAGACAGAGAAAAGCTGCCATGTTTCGCAGACTGCAATTTTGCAGACGTGTACAGCAACAAACCACAGTTTCCTTCGCGTAAACGGTGGTTTACTCGCTAATTTACCGCCAATAGGTGGT